GACAGCAGTTGATAGCTTAAAAAATAATATTTAGTTATTGTTTTAAAGAAATATCTTTATCTAAACTTACCTCTTTTATAATTTTTTGGGAAGTTCTTTGAATCCATTATTGTTATAACCACATCTAAACCATTATTTGAAAAAAAATTTGAAAAAAAAGTCATTTAAAAGTATAATATCTAATATTTAAACATACGAACATATTTTAAATAACATGCATATTTTTTTTTTCTGTTTTGGTTTTTTATAAAGATGATCTATTTCCCGATGTTTTAATAAATAAAACTTTCTCTAACGGAAAGAATACATTCTCCTAATCAACGCTGATATTATGTGAATGATAATAAGTAATATACTTTAAAATTTATTTGCTTATACACTAATAAAAAATAGCAATTTGGCATTTGCGCTGCATCTAACAGTGCTGGAATAGGAATGTCACAAATATCTTTACACAGATAAAAGGGAGAAATAAATTAAAATCACCAAACTTTATTTTAATCTCCACGAATTGAAATTTCATATCTGATTAATAAATATTTCCTATTTCGATGAATGGCGAGACGATAAATTGGACGTTTATCGAAGTTTCAATGAATTGTTTCTGAATTTCCTACATGAAACTCAAAATTTCGAGGGACTATCCAACACAAAGTAATGAACAAATAGTAAATTGTCTAAAATACGAACTCATTGCAAATTTTATAAATGATTTTGGTGTGTTATTCAATAATGTATTGCTGTGAAAAAAAGGTGTCGATGTATAAAAAATATATTTTATTTACTGGAGGCAAACAATATATTTTTTTATAAATGAAAAAAAAGGAAACAATTATTTAAATGATGTATGGATTGTGGATTTTTAAAAGTAACTGTTTAATAATGCACCAATTTCCATAAGAATATATGTTTATACGATAAAGTAAGTGTATCTAATATAATTAAACTACCATTCAAATACTCACTGTCCTGTTGCGGCATGTTTGTTGTGTTTTCCTTTTTTGTGAGGTGTTGATGAATTTGACTTCAGATAGCTGAGGAATTGATAATTTCGCCTTCAGAAACAATTATTTAACAATGGATGTTTTGATTATCCCTCTTTTTCTAACAAAAGTAGCTAGCATACATTATTTTTATTGAAATTTAAAATGAGGAAAAAAATTCAAAAATAAGTTTCCAAAATTTATTTAGCTATTTAAAAACATTCAATTTCAATATAAGATGGCCACTGATAAGTTTACAATAAAATATTGAAAAACAAAATATGTTTATTTTCTAGTAAATTATGTATTAGAAAAAAATGCAACACAAAATATTTAAATTGTTTGATAACCTATTATGTCAGATTGGAAAAAAATAGGCATCAACTTGTCTAGAAGGGCTATAATGTGGTCACTGTAATTCAACTGACTCCAATAGAATATTCCTCATATTGGTTAATGTTCGGGTTTTTTGTGTGTAAATCTTACAATCGATATATAAGACAAAAATCTTCTGGTAAATTTACTTTCCGAACATAAGTTTGTTGTGTTTATTTTAGATATGAAATTGAATATTGTGGGATTATTTTTTATTACTGGAGATTTTTTTAAATAATATGTTATATACTATTATATTAAAAATGTCTTATTTTAAATTATATTGATTTTTTTTTTTAGATCGATAATTCACAATGTTAAGAAAAATCTAATCTTAAGTTTATATATTCTCATAAGAAATCAATTTTAGTTTGTCAAAAATGACATTGGAGTAACTAACATCAATAATAATCATGATGATTTTGAACTCAATATTTGGCAAGACAATAAGGCTACCAGAATTAAATTAATATAGACTATAGAAATAAAATAATAAAACTTTGATATGTACAGTTAAGAAACGAATATTGATTGAATGTCGCTGGTGTATCAAATAATGTAAAATAGCCAACTTGATTTTTAAAATTTAAATGTGTTGACAATTTATTTTTGTTAAAAAAAACTTATCACTGTTGACTTGAGAAAAGTATGGCAAAATAACATATTGTCAGACCCATTGTATATGGTATACTAATACGTATATCTGGAAAAAAAATCGGATTTATTTATTTTTTTAAATCAAACTCTCTCTAATTATGAAATAAGACTGCATAATATAAGTTATTATGTACGTATTTGAACAAGTTTCAAATAGAAACATTTTCAGTTAAATCTAAAAAGTTTCAATTCAAATAAAAATAAACATTACCATGTAACATGTAATTCATATTATCTAAAATTTTATATTACTTTACCTCAGTTTTAACCCTTACAAGTTTGATCTTTCATTAACTAATTGATTTATTTGGAAATGGAACAAAAACTATTTTCGTGTTATAACAAAAACTAAACTATGAAAGAATCAAAATGTGAATGAGTGAAGATAATAACAAATAAAAATGGCCGACGCTTGACGTGTAACGTACAAGTATTTTGGGGAATTCCTTACACATGACTTAAGAATTTAAAATGGATCAGGAAATTCCCGAAATTTTGAATTTTCATTTTTTCAATATGATATAATGGATAAATTGTAAACAACCACTAAAAACAAATAATTAATTTTGATAAAAATGTATAAAAGCAGACCTGTTTAGCCTCAATCCCCTAAAATCATACAATATCATCACAAAATAGTTACATACAATATTTTAATAGTAAAAAAAAAATACATACAGTGTCATACAGTATATATAATGTATACACCTCAAAATCGTACATTGTACGCCAAAATTGTAAGAGTAAACAGGGCTAATAACAGTAAGGCACTTTATAAATATCCCATTTAGTACTCACTGATGGTGTCTGTCAGGACCTTCGTTGTGCAATTTATTCTTCTTGAGGGTAAAAAGATTACAGCATGTTCGGTATTTGAGACCATTTACAGCGTCTCTCTCTCTCTCTCTCTCTCTCTCTCTGTCTGTCTCTCTATCTCTCTCTCTCTCTCTGTCTGTCTCTCTCTCTCTATCTCTCGTTCTGTATCTCTGTCTCTCTCTCTTTCTCTCTCTCTCTCTCTCTCTTGAGATGTCAGTCAGCAATGCGGACAACATGAGGCTGGAAAGTGTTTGAGCTAGTATACAGTCTTGTTTCACGCAATCTATTTCAGGGAATGTTTTAGGTGTCTCTCCATTATCCCGATATCTAGCCTGCATACCATCATGGACAGCCGCAAATTGATACGAACATCGTGGGGAATCCATATTTGACTATGCTCTTTCAAAGCCCTCATTACTCACAGTGTCGAAACCTTTTTTCAGGCGTAATTAGGTAGAGAAGAGGTCAACATTTTGTTCCCGTCATTGTTCATGTACTTGTGTGACCGGAAAAAAAAACATAATGATTGTTCGTCGTACCTTCCGGAAGCCACATTGACTTTCTGGAAGTACATACATACATACATACATACATACTTACATGCATACATGCATACATACACACAAATAAATAAATACATACATAAATATATACATAGATACATGTATACAAAATACACAAATGCATGCATATACACATACAAAATGCAACATTACAAAAACAACATACGAGAATACCAATTCTTAGTCTTTCATTCCTTGCAACCATAAACAACACAGGCCAATATACATCTGCAAGATAATAGCTAGATAGACAATATCACCCCAGCAGGTGTTTGCGAAAAAGATACGTCTTCAAATCAGTTTTTAAAGACTCCAGTGTCTGGCTGTTTCCTAGAGCGACAGGAAAGGTGTTCCAAATACATTCATACATGCATACATTCATACCTGTATAAATTTATACATACACACATGCATACAAAACAACGCTGTGCTACATTGTAGATTTTCTTGTCTGTGATTTTTATTGTGGAACACTAACACTCAAAGACGTACTGGCATATGAAATGATTTACAGGTTGTTTTACACATTTAAGATTATGCATAATCATGTCAAAGCACAATGTGGTTTAAATATAACAGATATTTTGTGATTATCATAAAGTAAAGAAAATTAAAATATAATAGACGTATAGCAGTTGGTTTAAGTCAAGTGAACATTTCTCCCATTTGTTTGTATTAATGTAACTGAGACACATTAAGTTATATTTATGAGAGGCATGGTACAACTAGATTTAATCAACAACACCTTGGTGGTTTTTCCTCTTTAAAAAAAAAATAAAATACGATTTGTAATTTTCACTTGAAAATCTAATACATATTATATATTTATATATATAAAGATATACATACATATATATATATATATATATATATATATATATATATATATATATATATATATATACATATACACATACAAAAAAAAATTACCACGCACATACGATCTAAATTATATATATATATATATACATATATTTATTATATATATATATAATATATATTATATATATTATTTTTTAAAGATTTATTACATTTTTATTTTATTCTAACTAGTCACTTAAACAAATCGTTTTTATAATTTAAATATACTTATACTATTTATATCTTTATATATATATATATTCTGAGTATTGTTATTGAATTTTATTGTAATCCACACGTAGTATAGAAGTTAAATTTTACCTTTTGGAATATTGCATACACTTGATACAGCATAAAATGGCGCTGTCTTATTCAATGATTTACAGGTCATTTAGGATTTTACCGTTCCTTGAAATTTTCATGAAATAGGCCTATACGGGAGGGAGGAGGGGGCAATAAATAGTTTTCACCATTTATTATATAAAAACAATAAAAACGACCATAATTTTTATAAGGAATATATTTGTTTTAATGTGCCAAAAAAATGCATTAAGTTTTTTAACAGAATGTCTTTAAAAATTTATTTCATCATTCTAATTTTAGATTGTTTGTAATAATGAATTTTTCCGATATTACAAGTGGGCCCATTCCTACAACCCTTAATGGCATGGCGTGCGGCGATATTAAAGCCTTCATTTTAATTGCTTGATGAAGTTGTTTAAGCCTTAAGCCTAAACAAATTAAACAAATACACTTTTCACTATTAAATATTAATGGAGAGCACTATACAAAATAAAATGCACTGCCTTTCTATAATTAATTGTTATATTGCTTGTTCTTCGATAATTTTATTCATTCATTTTGGTAAGTAACCTATTTATATTTTGAATTACTGTCTAATGAATAATATAGTATATTTCGTAAAAATAGAAACATTTTGTTGAAAGCTTAGATCCACGGTTTCAATACATATATTGGAAAAATTATTCTCAATATACACAACTTTAAAAAAAAGTCAATAGCAACTTTTTTATGCAAAAGCACTCCACTTTAAATTATTATTGAGTTATAGTCTGATGAGATAACTTAATAAATGTTATATTAATATTTTAATGTATGGAATTCATATAATATGTGATAGATCTTACAACGATATTAATATCTTATAATGATTTTTTTAATTTAGCATTTTTGTTATACATGAATATCAAAAATAACTAAATAAGATACGAACGAACCCAAATACAGTCCTTCTCAGTTTCAAACATGTGGTAAGACATTCGTAAAATAAATATGTACATATTTTAGAGACCGGAAAATGTTTGCATATGATCATCTGAGGACGATGGGCAATCGTTTGGATATTACATTTATTAATTTTTTTATTTTTTTTGTTTATTTTGTTTTGTTTGTTTTTTTGGGTTTTTTTTTGGTTTTTTAACTTCAAATTACAAAAGAATGTGTAAAGAAAACCTGTTAGGGTGTTTTTTCTTTTTTTTTTTTTTTTTTTTTTTTTTTAATGCTCTAATGAAACTTTTGGTGCATTTTGTGTAAAAATGTAATATATAGTATTTGGAGCTAAATAAATAAATGCTTTAACATTGTTATTCACCATTAGGATATTATAACACTTTAATCCGACGATAGATACAAACATGAACGTTGTTGAATGCCTCTCTCGGTATAAATATTTAGTTTTTTTAACTATATTGCGACCATTTTCATGGCAAAATGCTTAATACATAATTATATAAGACCAATATTAAGAGACATATCAAATTCATTGGCGTCGAAAACGATAGGAACACTTTTTCAAGTTGTCAAAATCCCAAAAAGCATGTTGCAGACAAAAAGCCAATTATAAAGTAAAAATTATGCATTTTTTTCAGAGATTACAATAGCTCAAAGTTCAAAGAAATGTCGAAAACCCTCCCTTTTAAAGAAAATATTAAAAATACTAAAAAGTTACGATGCATTCTTTTAAAAAAATCATGTTTGATATATATATATATATATATTTTTAAATATAAAAATTTATTTTGACTGTTTTTGTAATTAAAAATTAAAATAGTTTTTTTCGCATACCATCGGGGTCATCAACTTCATCTTAACCTTTACAAGTGTTACAGACTTCAAAATAAGTAGTAGGCTCTCTTTAAAAAAAAAATAAAAAAATTAAATAAAACAAATGCAATTGATATTGTGTTTTCATATCAATCGCTCAATTAAGTTTGATTTGTCAAAATAAAATTCAGGTGGCATATATTTATGATAACAAGAGATTAACATCCAATTATTTTATAGACATAAACATTGAGATCTATAGTGTAAGGAGGCGATGAGAAAAACATATTAATGAAACACTGGAACAACAGGAAGCAGGACTTTAACAAAAGCTGATATAAGTTGATGCCACATCGCTTCTATTATAATTGGTTACTACTGGGTAGTGCCTTTTAGTTTATGAGTAGTCTTGTCAGAATAATATATACTTTTAAATGTAGATTCCATAAAGAGAATCGTTTGAATTTATGATGGCATAACATGTATCTAAAAATATTTACTTTACCTATTCATTAGTATTTTATATCTTAACTAAGTTGTGTACGCTAGAATGTTATTATCATCTGTTAATCTACACAAAGTAAAAGGAGGTTGAAAAATATTTATTTTTAAAATACATTTTTTTAAAAACAAATGCAAATAGTGTCAAAAATCGTCCTATACAAAGATGTGTGTTCTTGTGTCATGGAAATAGTGAATGATGACAATCAACCATGACACAAATAAAATGTAAACTTAATTAATATTTGACAATATTTCTTTCAATGTCTGCATATTTACTTATTCAGTCATTTTATGTTACAGAATCTGTAAAAGGACAAAACATAACTTTGTTTAAATATAATCAAAATGACGCCAAAACAGAGTGTATACTTGGGCTAAAAAGTGGCAAAGATATTGTTGTTTTTAAAGCTCTTGTACGTGATTATCACAAAGCTGACTATGTGTTATTTGAAATAGACAAATCTGGTGGCAAGTTTTGGCAGGTATATAATATATATATATTAAAATAATTCCTTGCAATGTTTATTACGTAATTTTATTTATACCAAGATTGTTTAATTTCTTCATTTGAGCAATTGCCTTATATTAATAAACGCACACAATTTCTTAATTTTGAAAGCCCAAAAATTAAGCTTTATAGCTCAATCTAAACCTTTCTTTTTAACACGTTTTTTAAATTCTTTATATTTAACCCACAACTAGAGTTGTTATTTCTTTTAAATTGTATTTTTATATCCCTTTAATATTACATTATTATTTTCTATATTTTCAGTCGATCCATTTGGATTTTAAAATTCCATTTGCAAGCAAATATGAGACTGTGTGTCTTGTTCGTAACTATGCCATACATATAAATATCTACATAGGAGCTCCATCGGAGTTTAGTGACGCCACAGTGGATTTTAAAAGTACAGATTCAAGCAACAATGATACTGTGTGCATTGTTCGTAACGAAACCATACATCTAAATATTTACACAACAGCTGAAAATGACTTAAAAAAAGCCACAATAGATTTTGAAAATCTTTGTCCAAGCAACAATGACACTGAGTGTATTGATTTTAATGAACCCATACATGTACATATTTACATAAAAGCTGAAACTGAGTACAGTAAAGCAAAGATGAAAGGATCTTTGTTTATATTAGGAAGATATGTTACTAAAAGTGATGAACAAACCTTCCCGGAAATATATGGTATTTAAAAATATAATGGACTATTTAAGTGATAAGACCATTATAAATATATATATATATATATATGAAATTTCCGGAACAGCTTGTAATTAGTTTCACAAGAGGTTTATACCATAACAATTCGTTTTTTTTAAATAAATGTATAAATAATTATAAATCCTTTACATAATGTAAACATTGATTGGACAACCCGGTTTATAAAATGAAAGTGTTATCACTTACAACAGGCTATTGACCTTTTAAAGAGGTTTTAACGGTTTTGGTATGTTTCGCCTTATTGATTATTAATGTTTGGGCCTTCAATCTAAAAAATAAAATTGCAGAAACCAAACCATAATGATATTTTAAGGAGTTTCATATTTAAGTTCTGTAAATGAATATTTAAATTATTTTTTTTCTTTTAATTGTTTTATATTTACTTTTGTTAAACTAATATCTCTGGGACCTGCCTCATGGCACATGACCCTAGAGAAGCATTTAAGGTATTTCTAAATTGGGGCCTAAAAAATTTAAACATTGTTTAAGTAGCCCAGGGGAAGATGTCGTTTACGAGTAGTCTATTCATGCTTCATCCTATCAGTCGTTTTTTTTTTTAAAATTATAAACAGTGATTTTGTAAATCGGTTGGGTCTCAGTCCATAAAATGCCTTTTCATTTTCACGTAAAGGGGAAGCGCGACAGCATAGTGTATTACATTTTGGCTCTGCATGTAGCGTTCTATGTGTGTTGGTGAGGATATGTTTGGCAAAGGAAAAATTGAGATGAGGAGAAAAAAGTGGAGGCTTTTTGCAAGGCTGTTTTATAGGACTCATTTTTGTGTTGCTAGAATGTAGTTGGTAAATGAGAAACATGATGGTGATTAAGAAAAGGAATCATAATTTTTGTTAAATTTTGAAGTGTAAAAGAAATATCGATACTGCAAATATTAATTCGTCTGAATCATATGTTTAGCCTCACCAACTCCATCAGCCTTTCCTTAAGAGTGTAAGTGTAAGAAACTTAAAATTTCCCGCATGTTTATTTGTTTATATTATAACATAAATAAGAAAACATTTTAAAAAAATATCTGCAGATTCCTCGCATGCAACATACACACTAACGATCAACGGAATGGATGCACTTAAAAATGAATCCGTTTGTTTCATCAATGATAATGGCTCTATCCCATTTGAATTAAAGTTGGAGAGCAGTAACCAGCCATTACCATGCGTACTTGAGATTATGTCAGATGAGGGAACGTCTACAAAGAAAGGACCAAATGGTACTGCTTTCATAAAAATAGAAAGAAAGTCAATGAAAGGAAATATTACAATCAAATACGGGTCATGTTCCTTGTCCGAAAACACAAGAATAATTGAGTGTTCATGGGAAAATAAAGGTAAGACTATTTAAAAATTCTAAATGCAACATTTTACTCCTTTAAAAGTGTTGTAAACATTAATTCTCTACATTACAATGCTCCAATCTCTGTATGTATTCATGTATGTATTCCCATTATTATTCTTACCCAGTAATCAAATGTATTTTACCTAATAAAATTTAATGTTATTTAGTGGTCTTCCGACTTTGAGAAGGCATTTTTTGTTGTTGACAGTTGAGTTTAAGTGTAACGTATTCAATCATGCCTCATATAATTGAATTTATTTCATACAAATTAATGATTTTCTAAAAGTTAATAAATTGACACGCCTTATAAGATTAGATATTATACAAAGAGGATAGCTTTATCTGTCCGCAAATTCAGTCGAGCTCAACTGACGTCATTCACCTGCATATGAGGGATAGTTTGTTCGTAAAAAAGAGAGAGTTAGATGACGGCCATTTATATTGATATCAGAATTCGTGCTATCTGTGCATGTGTTTAAACTGTTATTAAATAAAATAACCCGTAGCAATTTAATATGAATAAGCATTGCATTATTGCATCCTGCTCAAAGCAATAAATACAGTTCTGAAGGTATATTCAATTTAGTAGTGAAGTAAAACTACTGCACGCTGCAACAGATAAAGCTTTTACATGGCTGTAATACAAAAGTGATAATTTATTCGAGTTTTCTAAACATATATATATATATATATATATATATATATATATATATATATATATATATATATATATACAGAGAGAGAGAGAGAGAATATATATATTATAAAATATATAAAAATATATAAAAAAAAAGATAATTTATTTTATTTTTATATACATATATATATATATATATATATATATATATATATATATATATATATATATATATATATATACAGAGAGAGAGAGAGAGAGAATATATATATTTTAAAATTTCCAGTAACATATCTTTTAAAAATATCTACAATAAACATGATTTGAAAGCATTGGAAATAATTTGTAAAAAAAATAAAATAAAAAATTACTTGTTTAAAAATTAAGTTATAAAACTCATTGTGTATTTGACCTAAATATAAAATACGTAAATAATAGTATAATTACTACTAGTAGCTAGGTCAAGTACCAATACTATTTTTTAAATATTTAAACAATGTATAAATATATAGTTTGGGTATATTTTGTTTTCATATGTTGAAAGTGTAGCTTATTTACTATTGACAATTCTGCAATAGTTTGTAGGCATTGAGGCAATTTTTTTATAATTGCAGTCTCGGCTCTGTAGTAACGCCAGGAAAAACTTGACTGCTGGTTTACTATGGACTTCCTAATCCATCACAATTTGTTTGTCTATTAATTTGAGAAAAAAAATATTTAAGAAATCCCTGAACCCGTTATAAACGTCTGCATTTTACCCTCATCTAAAAAAGAGAAGGATTCAATTATTAATTATACAAACACGCTGACAACCATAGATAGTGCTTATTTCACTCGACATGATTAAGCTTTAAAGTCTCGTTACAAATTAGATTCGAACAAAGTTTATCCTTAACTTCCACCCTATCATAGTTATCACCATAATGTGTCCTTAAATAATCTGTATATTGTTATTGCTGGTACCGACAAGAAAATAATATTCCTATCAACTGACTTTAAGCCGCCCAACGCGACTAAAATGTATGTGATTGTCTGGTTCATAGATGCCTTCAAGCAAGTCCATCACACGTTGAAACTCTTTTAGGACTTGTCCCTGTGTACTGGAAACTAAACACCTTGGACTCCCTAAACGTGCTTTAATCGACACAGAGGGTGTCACATGTATTATTCGTGATCCATATTCTTGTTACCTGAAGATACCGCTCCTGTTACATTGAAGGAAATTACCTAGGTAATAATATTACAACTGATTTTATTAGTATTTTATTTAAATTGGGGTGGGGTGTAGTTGCCCCTCTCGTCATTTCCTATTTGAACCAATGTCAAGACTTAGTGGAAACGACGACAAATAGACAAAGTATACACCAGCATTGTTTCTTGTGTCTCACTCTTTCTCTGTATGCGTTCAATACAGCAGAATTTTTGGAATTTTAATTTTACCATATTTATGCAGCATACGACTCACCACTACCGTGTTCGATTTCAGATTTTCTCTTCTTTTTGATGTGTTGCTATCTAATGTTAACGAATCCCATCATGTTATATAGTTTAGACTTTAAACGATAGAGGATTTTTTTTCCTGATATTATGTTTAGTGAACGCCTTCGTAATATTGAAAAAAACAAGCTACCACAGATACTAATCAAATTCCATTGTTGATGAATACAATTGCTTTTAAGATTTTTCCATCGCAGTGCACATTTCTATAGCACTAATTCACCAAAAGAGTGAAAAATGAAAAGAACATATTTCAGATTTATTTCATCATTAGGCACCAATCATATACTTGTTTACTAGGTGTCCTTAATGTACTTTTATTACTATTTACATTTAGTGTACTTTAAAATATTAAAATGGCATTAATAATAATTAAATTATTTTACTTCTTGCAACCTCCATGGCTGTACGAATCTTTTTGCTTTGAACAATTTAAGTACCATCTCAAACATGGAGTGATTCCGTTACTTCAATTGAGTATTTTTATTTCCAATATAGACAGCTTATCAAATGTAAATAAGATCGTTTCTTGTTTTGTGTATTCTGCTGTCTCCGGGATTCAGCCCATATTTTTTAATGCTCTTTCTTTTTACGTCGACCTTCAAGATATCTTCACTAATAAGTTTTAAAATGTGTACGTTTAGGGGTTTAATTAGTAACTTTAGAAATGCAAATAGACCAAGACATTTCAGGGTTGACATGAGTATTATTCGGGACTGTCGATTTAAAGCTTCAAATGTGTAAGATAAGCGGAAACAAAATTTTACAATTATTAAATAGTATCATATATGGTTTAGGAGATAATCCTTATTATTGTCTATTATAACAGCAACGGCACTAGCGATACGTGTTGCGACTTTCTGTCAAACTCCAAGTTGTCTTCTAGAAACATGAACAACACTTCCAGAATACTAAAGTAATCTGTATGAACATGCTACTTTGTGATATTAACACATAGAAAGCCTCAAATAACACATCTCTACAAAAAAAACGTTTCAAATTAAACTTTTTGTTTTTGACCGTACACAGCCGATCATTGAAAGTATGGTGTAGAGCAAGCCTGCAAAAATGAAAATGTAAGTCGGGCTGTAATACTTTATTAACAACTTGTGTGGGGCAAAAGAAAAATAGGACAGTGGTGGAGCTTTTAAGAAAATAATAAGAATAATGTGTTCATGGCCTTGTGTAGAACATGATTACAATACAAATACGTTGACATGGTGACACCCTGTTCTTTTAACGAACGGTTCGGTTATTAGCAACACTTTTAAGTTGCACTAAACAGGGGGTCAAACAGTAAGGTCCAACCGCTCAAAAATAATTATATACGATGCTGGAGTGTTTTGTTATCATGCAATATCACATTTGTCTTTATTCGCATATCATTATAGAAGGGAGTAAATGTAAGTTCAATTACCCTTCTTCTACTTATTATTCTTTTTATTATTATTATCAATATTTATTGGATGTTGGGTTGCCGAGTGGTCTAAACGGATAAAATCTGAAGTTGATGGTTTGGAGTTCAATCCCCACAAAAGCCCAGTAAATCAGCACCCATGGGACTCGCTAGCCTTGGATGGCATCTCATCTGAGAGACGGAAACTCTGAAATCAAACCTCTCTTCCCTTGGGCTGCCCAGTGGCGGGGAGCGAGTCGATTAGCTGTTGGGAACCAGCTTGTGATCCCAGAAGAATAACCTGGATTTCGTCCTGTGAAGTCTACACCCTCATCACATTGTGACGGACGGATACCAGGAATTATTATTATCACCATAATGTCGAGTCTCTTTATAATGAGAACAATGGCTTATGAAGTTATCAATTTTAGGTCCAGAGCTCTAGCACAAGAAATGTTAAAATTCAAAATTTGCCTTAAATTTTTTAAAATGTTTAAATGTATATCACTCGCAAAACTTATTTAATTATGGCAATTATAACGATTTATAAAACTGCAAACAAAAACAACTTACAAATCTTAATTTAATTTAGTATATTATGAAACATTCGTATGTAAGTAGAGTCAAATGTGTTTCATTAGCAGCTAAAAAGACCCTAGCATATGAGAAGCTTGCATTCATAGTGGCAAAAAAATAATCGAAGGTACAAGTCATACATTTTATAAGAGTTTGTTTCTGGCTGAATAATCGCTCATGATGTGTTCAAAAAATATGTCATTAAACAACACACTCCTCAATAATCATGATCATTACCAGTAACTTCACAAGAATTTTTTTGTGCCATTTTAGTTTTGATAGCGCTGATTTGTAATTTTTGAGTTTTCTATTTCAGTCGATCAAACAAACCACAAACAAGACACAGACAATACGTCCATAAACAAAGAACTAGCAATTGGAATTTCTGTACCCGTATCGATTATCGCTATAGTCTGCATATGTATTATTATTATATGGGTTATTAAAAGGTGTGTACATAAGCTGTTTTTTTCATTTAATAATGTTTATATGTTCTATATATATTTTTTTAACAAGTATATTAAAACTAAAATTAGTTCTAAAAAATTTGGTATATTTAAAAATTTAGCATAAAATATATACATATTATATGTTCTGTTTAAAAATTGCTCCCAATACTTTATGATTGCTAATTTTAAAAAACGTGTTGATTTATTCAATGCAATATTGTGGATACTCGCAGGAAACCGGAAAACTTATACATTTTTTTTTTAATAAATAAAAATGAAAAAAGTTCCATTTCAAAGTTTGCTATAACCCAGTGAGGACTACGTAGATAAGGTTAGTAAAGATAGTAGATGCTAGGCAGATAAAGTGGAAGTAAATCTGATGGTCAGATGAATTTAACTTAATGTTTACGAATCTAGGCAAATTTAGAATGTTATTTTTGAATGGTTCATAAATATTTGATCTTTTAGGTTTTCCCTTATTCTGTCTGTCATATGTCATTAAAGTTAAGGGATTAGAATGCTTTTAAAACAATACTTTTAGTATTATTATTTTTATTCGTTTTTTTTTTTTTTTGGTTGCTAATTTAATATCAGAAAGAAATGTAAAATTGTGGCTTAAATAAACGACTATTCTAAAGCAGTATTAATAATGAAAACAGTTGTAAAATTTATGTCATATGTCATTAAAGTTAAGGGATTAGAATGCTTTTAAAACAATACTTTTAGTATTATTATTTTTATTCGTTTTTTTTTTTTTTTTGGTTGCTAATTTAATATCAGAAAGAAATGTAAAATTGTGGCTTAAATAAACGACTATTCTAAAGCAGTATTAATAATGAAAACAGTTGTAAAATTTATCAGTTTCATTTTATTATGATAGTATGAGGGATCGTATAGGCAATTAAAAACACACATTTTAAAACAATAAAACATTTATTTTACGATGTTGTTACACAAAAGCAAAGCGATTCTTCTATAATGTTGTTTAAATTTTAATGTATTTGATAAATAATATAATTTTTGCAAAATATATTTGACTTATGTATTATCGTCCTTTTAAAATGCAGATGAAATAGGCTGAATTACCCCAAAAGTTAAGATTTCAAGTTCATATAATTTGCATTGACATATTATACTTTTTAATTTTTTTTTAGGTATTATTTTAAAAGGAAACCTAAAAGGAAAAGCGAGATGATAAATCAGGTAATAATTTGCAAAGACTTTGTTAATTGTCTTTCTCAAGCTTCTGTAGCGTTGGTTCTTCTTTAGGCTGCTACATTAGTTACGAACATCACGCTGTGTACGTCGCTTAATAAATCCAACATGTCCGAAACAGAAGTGACATGACAAGGAGAAAATATTGCGCTCCTTATTTTGGGCCAATCCAACCGCCCTAAAAACGTTGTGGAAAAAGCTTTCCACCAGTTCATACTAATTCTATGTGAATTTTAACATCATACATAAAAATGTATCGACCCGCTTACACCCATTCAGAACAGACTTAAGCGTCTTTACAAATAACGTCTAAAGAAATCCCCAATGAGTAGTATCGGTCAAAAATAATTTAAAAGACTCATTACTGGGTCCCGGCGAAATAATTCTTAGAAGGGTCTTGTGTTTTTATAGATGCCAAGAAATCAATTTTGAAATAACCCTGTTTTTTTTAGAGTCCATGATCCAAAACGAATCCCATACACTTAACAATAGCTTAAGACAATTGAATATGCAAATGCAAAAGAACAAAAACAAACAAGTTTTTTTCACCGCGGGTTAAAGTGAGAAAGTATCTATACAAATCGCCTCGCAGATGCCAGACAAAAAAACTCTAGTGTTAGGGGATATGACCAAAAACTAACACCATCACCAAATATATAAACGTCTACCGACCAACAACAACACTTAAAACTTTTTTTTTGTTATAAAAACGAAGACATTGACACAATACTTGGTTACTATGATGATAAAAGACAACAGAAGGACGACGAAGACACCAAAACCCTTAAAGACAACTCACCTTCATCTAAAGTACCAGAAGTAAGAAGATTAAAATAGTAATCCCCATCAAGTGGGACGGATGGAATCAAGTCAAACATTAAGAAAGCAGTCATATGATCCAAGTGCAGCGGGGCATATAGAGGAGCCTGTCAAAAATTGGAACTCAAAAATCAAAAAAAATATCAAGTTTTCAGGACAGTCTACGTTTATAAAGACAACACATGAAATGCCTGGAAGTAAATAAATAGTTCAAGCTGATGTTTTAGACGTAAGAACCTTTCAACCTAGAAACTTATATCGATGTGTTTAGTAAAAATTTGTGGGCGATCACTATAAAGACAAAATCAGGTAAATTTATAATGTAGGCAATGAGTGAAATTTTGTGACTCGCAAAATGATACTTTTTTAAACAGTCAAAGGTTCTGACTTTGTCATAAAGAAATTCCTAACTTTTCTTAAAAAAATAAGGCGTGCACTTCTTTTCTACGGAGAACTAGGATAACAAGGAAGCGATTTCTGAGCGGTTCTATCTCACCTTAAAAGAACAATTCACAATAGGTTTTATTCGAAGAAATCTGCGCCATTGACAAAACTCCCAAACGGAATGCTTATCTCGCACTCGTCCGTCTCTTATTAGAACATGGTGCGATCATTTGGGATTCATACCTAAAGCAAGACATGGACGAGATGAAGCGAATCCAAAGTAACGCAGTGCACTTCACCGCACGTGACTACAATTTCACCACTCCTGACTTCGTCCTTGATCTCTTAAAAAGTTTTGACATCCCCTCCCATAAAGACAGACGAGAAAAGTTCCGCCTACTATTCGTATATAAAGTGGTCATGGGCTAGTGCCGGCCATCCCAGAAAACACATATCTCACCCCACAGGACCCAGTTCGATGAATCAGGGCCAAACGCTCACTGAACACTGACTTCACCTCTAACAGCCCCATAAACAATTACACCTGGAACAATAGCAAATGATTCACTGTGCCTCGGTGTAACACAATGCAGTATAAACAATCATTCTTGCCACGAACAATAATCTGGCATCTGCTAGGAGCTGTTAGAGTAGCAAAATCGCATCCCCAACCGTTGCAAATATGCCAGAATATCGATGCAGTAACGGACACTATCAGAACCAGAAAAAAAGTGTCATAATTTGCAAAAACAAATGGCCTTCTTTAAGTCTATGTGAAACTTTGTTACAAAACTATAATCACTCGTATCACAGGAGAATTCGCATGCCACCGGTGGAGGTTACTTTGGGGTAACAAGAATGTGTGAGTAATGTTTTATACGCACCTGTTGGCGAAACCTAAAGAAAATTGGTTACAGTAGAGGATCGAGTAGGATCGCTCAAGTCGGGAAAACATTTAAGAAGTGTTATCTCCTTTCATAATCAGTACGCCTAACTTAGAATGCTAGATATTTATTATAGTCGTACAGATAAGTTTCATAGTGGTCCTTAGTTTGTAGATACACACAACAAAGAAATCACCAAACTTATTTTATGTAAAAAGACAATTCAAGTCACACAACGTTATCACTGTTTCACTGATTATATGACTTATATTTGAAAAGTCTGGGACACATGCAACACCAAAAAAATATCAGCAACATCATTAATTTGGCGACTTTGACGATTTGTGAACTTGTGCTTAACATCCGCTTAATATGTTTGCTTAATAAGATTCTATTGAGTGTAAACCTTGATGATGTACCAATTAAATTATTTTAAAAAATTAATTCATGGTTTTCTGGAGGAACGCATTTGTAAAATTTAAGTAAGCCATTTTAAAATGTTTAATTCATTTTTTTGTTGTTTTTGTTTTATATGTTATTGTCTAAAACAAAAATTGTGAGAATTAATTAAAAATGTACAATTTTTCCAAACGCTATTTAAATATATAATTATACACAATTTTGAGAACCACTCAATCACTCAAAGTTTATACACCCCGACAAGGCCACTGATAAAAACTACATATACAATTATCACACGTTAAGATATTCATTTAAATATAAACAACAATAAATTAACTTATTAAACACAATTAAATTATTAAAAAACCATCATATACCAAAACCACTCATTAAAAATATATATTAAATTATCACACTACAAGAGATGTATTAATTTAATATTAGTTGTTTAAATATTTTAAAACCAGCAGACAACGGAACGAAATGAATTAAAATCCAATTAAAAATATTTTTTTTAATTTTTACACTTTGTTTTATCGATCGTCCCTACGTCAAAACAAACTGCTATACTACTATGATCAACTAATATTACATTTAAATTACATATATTACAATATTTGATACACGAATGTTCAACGTTTCATTTAAATAAAACAACAAAGAACATATTTGTGTGCTAATACATGTTTTTTTTTTTTCTCTTTCTTCTTTCGCTTATTTCCTCTGGGCAAATTCGTTAAACTAAGAAGAACAATGCAGAGCAGAACGTAACGTTACCCTTAATAGGAGGTATTATTTATGATTATAATTTGTTCCTGATTATATGTAAGACCGATAACATAAATATTTTATGTAATTTCCAGGCAACATAAATAGTTTAAAAACAATTAAAATGGCATTTATTAATACATTTCAAATTTATTTTCATCATTCATGCAGTCCCATAATTAATGTCATTTTTTTAAATTAACAAAGTTTTAATTTTTTTTTCTGGAATTTTTTTTTTCAAATTTAAGGATCAGAGTCTACTGCAGAGAATACATGTCGTGCAAGGATGCTACCTATATCAGATTTTAAAAAGGATACTCTACCAAAAGAATACAGACACAATAGTTTAGTTTCGTTAGTTCAAAATATTAGTATTCTCACTGGAAGACTAAATATTGACTACGTTAGTGACAAAAGACCGGAAAAATACCCTGATAGCGACGACCCGTATCCTTTGTATGATAAAAGTAAAAAAGGAGCACATGACAGCAGGTTTGCAACTGGAATAGTTGTCGGAGTAGAAAAGAATACTGACACAGACGCTCTGTGCTATTGTTTTGACTGTAGGTCTCAGGGTTCCACAACAACAAAAAAATGGGGAAAAGTTTATCTTTTGACTACTAAAACTGTCATTTTTGACAAAAGTGAAGCACTGAAAACCAAATTTACGCTATTTTTTGACAATAAAACTAGAGTCTTAAGCGGATCATCTGTAAAGGACAGTGATATTAATTACGATTGGTGTGAAGTTGAGTGTGCTACATGTGATACAACATTAATAGATAAATTAAGTGATAATTTGGAGAGGTGTTCAACAGAAATGAAATCGGTAAACAGTCATTTCATAGGAGAACTCACGCGTCCTAAACTAGCAATCATTGTATTCCACCCTTTTAAACAACCCAAAACTTTCTCGTATGGGTTTTGGAAAGATAGATTTGAAGGAAATAAGAATACGTGGACTAATTATGAATACAATGTTGGTACAGAAAGAGGGGCTGCTGGTGCTTTTGTCTACATTGTCGGCGTGAGTGACATATCAAAAAGATATGTTCATGTTCACTGTGGGCTAAGAAATCATGGTGGTTATAGTAGCTTTGGATTAGAAAGAACAAATGATGCATCAAACATTAACGACAACAGAGGCCCACGAGTAGATAATTGAATGGACTATATGTTTGTTACTTAATTCTTAAGTTTAACTAAAATAAACTACCACAAATGACACTCGAATAGCTTTGAGTCTAAATGGAACCTGGTCCAATTTGCCGCTATTCTGACGCGGGTCTCTTAGACTAAATGCTATTCGGGTGTCATTTGCAGTAGTTTATTTTAGTTAAACTGAAGTATTATGTAACAAACATATAGTCCACTCAATTATCTTTCATACAAAGTTTGTCTTACAAACCAATCAATAATATGTCAAATATTTTTATGGTTTATGTTATTTATTATATATATATATATATATATATATATATATATATATATATATATATATATATATATATATATGTATGTATATATATATATTTCTTGTGTGTTCTATATATAATATATATATATATATATATATATATATATATATATATATATATATATATATATAGATGTCTGCATGTATATATTTATGTCCCGTATGCGCTATGTAAATATAATTTCGGTATGCGTTTCTATACCTTTTATACGATTGCGATTAAACGTTTTTGACATGTTGTGCAAAAGTTTCCGATGTATTTAAACCATTTTAAATAGTCAATTTTGAACCAGGGGTCTCATGTTCGGGTTTTTTCTAATGAGAGCTTTATAAATATAAATGCATACCGTATGTGCTCCTGTGCCATTTATACGATTACGATAAAACATTGGTGAGTTGTTGTCAACAAATTAGCGCACTTTTCTAAGGCATTTTAATCCTTTAAAATATTCCGTTTCTGGTCGTTGGCCCCAAGTGCGTTTTTTTTTTCTTATATGGCCTTTGTAAATATAATTTCCTTATGAGATTATTTAGCATTTATCCGATTGCATAAACAATTTTGTAATTATAATGCGCATGTGCGCAAAGGTTTCTCAATTATACAACCATTTCACAATATTCCTTTTTGAGCAAGGGGTCCAAATTTCGTTTTTACCTATATGAGCTATATTCCTTCAGCTTCAAACAGGGCTAATGCATGGGTGAATAGAACTTTTATGATATACAAATAGAAACATTAAATGTTATGTGTACGCGTTCCTATATCATTCATCCGATTGCGATAAAACTTTGGTGATTTGATACGCGCCCGCCCGCAAATGTTTTCTACTTGTGTACAACCATTTTAAAACTATCCGTTTCGTGCCAGTGGCCGTTACTTCTTTTGTTTTTTCTGATATGAGCCTTATAAATACAGTATCGAAATGAACCTATGCATTGGTGGATGGAATTTTAATAGCGACATTTCATTTAGTGTGTGATATAAGGGTTGTTCAATTAGTATAACAATTTTACAATGTTACGCTCTAGCCCGGGGACACTAAATGTGTCTTTAGGTAATAAATGAGCTTTATAAATATAATTTCAATTATACCGATTGTATCAGTGGATCAAGCGCTACAATGTGTGGACTAAATTTTGAAAACCCATGCTGTGTGTCGCCTGCTCATGTTTTGAAAAAAGTCTAATTTATTCGATTACGCACCAGACGGTAAAAACAAAAAACAAAAAAAAAAAAAAAAAAAAAAAAAAAAAAAAAAAAAAAAAAAAAAAAAAAAAAAAAAAAAAAAAGAAAAAAAAAAAAAAAAAAAAAAAAAAAAAAAAAAAAAAAAAAAAAAAAAAACACACACACAAAATATTGTGTATATAAAAAGTACTTCAAAAAACATAAATTAAAGCACAAACACTTTTTTTCTTTGAGTGGCTTTGCAACGCATGCCGGGAACTTGCTATTGAATTATGTAACATTAACTTATCTTGCTTTATATATATTTTTTAGGGCATGTTATGTTTCCAAAAAGTGAAAGAATGCAAGAAAATGTGTTTTCTATCTATCAACATAAAGAAAATATATTTACTGTTAATGTATCAGGTTTAAGACAAACAGGACACATTTTTTTCTCATATTATTTTTTTTTTAAAAACTAAATTAAAATAATTTTTAAAACCCTCAGTGTCGCATTATTTATTTTATTTAACGATGAGAAATAATTTCCGCTACTTGTTTTTCAAATTTTTACAATCCCATAAAACATTATTTTTATTAAATGTAATCATAATATCAATTTAACTTGAACCCTTACTGAAAGTATTAATTCATATTTATTGCAAGGAGTGTAAAAAATGGAGTTTAAAATTTCTGATTTTATTTTAAAAAAGAAAAAACAATTATTTACCGGGTACTTTTTAAAAATATTATTATTATCATTATTATTTTAAAATTTTGACATGGAGGATTTTTTTGTAAAGTTTATAGCATTAAAAAAATAGGGATGAAATTTATTTTTATTTTATTTTCATCGAATACAATAATATTGACAATTATAATGTACACATATATAAAATACACCGATATGAAATAAAAATACTTTTTAGAAAAAAGGTACCGTAATAGCTCAACATTTGTTTTACTCATTTGGAGGTCATTTAACGACATCTTTATATACACACAATTTTATTGAAAATATTACGCATTTTCAAAACAAAAAAGTTTATTTTATATGTTTACTATTATGATTTAATCACCCATGTAAATATCGAAAATGAACTTTCTTTGTCATAATCCAAATAAACAAAGCAGAGAAGATGTAGTGATATTGATTTAAAATATTTTAGGGACAAAAGAATAAAAATAATGCAAATAAAAGGTCATATGCAAACATCAATTAAACAAAAATTGACTAAATGCCACACTGGTTCAAATCCCGCATGTGTCACCTTGTAAATTCACCCCATGGGTAATGATTGTGTACGCTAATACATAAAACAAATAAAAAGGGGTGCATTGTTTTGAAGTGTGTCACTTTTTATCAAGTAAAAGTGTGTAAAGTGGGTTCTAACAAATCTCAACATGTTGATTCCTGAACACATTATCACATTATTATTTAAAGGAGACATTTTCAAGAGTTGATGCGTTCAGGAAACATAACTTGTTCAGAAAAATAAATTGGTTTATTATAATCAGGCATCTATTTCTGCTTTCGAAAATTCTACATCAATTGTTGATTTTTAAAACAAAATAAATATATAATTCACAAGGAAAAATACACTACCCAAAAAATATTTTAAAATAAAATTATATCTTCAAAGTTAATGGGTAATTTTATTTATTTAAAGAGTAAACTTAAATAAAAGAGTTATAATTAGTTTACTTATCATGGATATAGAAATTAGTAACACAGAAAAAGAAAGTGCTATAATGTATCATATTTTTTCCTAAACCCACTGAATTAATACAAAATTTGAGAGTAAGAGTGAGCAATAAACAAAATTCAATTTAAATCCTCTACAAAATTAGTCACAGAAACATCGTGAACTCCCTCTACGTAACAAGGACCTACAGTGATTAATAAATTGATCTTGGAACCTCAAGATATAGAATAAGAACATTTTTGGCACCGTTTCTCCTTTTAATCTTGACCAAATAAATCACTTCTAGGCAAAGTAATTTAAATTCGAAAGTCTTAAAGACTCGTTGCTAATTTCAAATGACTGCTCACATTTCTTCCAATCCACAAAAACATGTCCGTTTAACTCTAGCTGTTTTGGCAGGTGGAGACTGTCCATGTGACACAATTTAATAGCATAATAAATATCTAACAAATTCTGTTGTCTGTGTAACAAATATATTTCATTCCCCATCCTACATTTTTAAATACCTCACATCACATGAACACTTAGTCCATATTGTTTTACCAATTATAGCACATTTAAGTTTACACATTCATTATAACAATTCACAATTCATAAAACATGACAGCAACATTGGACAATTGGGATACAAAGTTCACTCTAAACATACTACAACAATAACCGTCAGTTACAATTACTGTCATTAATCCGAAGAGTATCATCTGTATTGTAAAACAGAAATGGACTGTTTTTAATTTCCTCTATCGGATCATACTATGTGTACATTTCAGTAAATCTGTTGCCCAACTATCAAGGAACTATTGTAAGCAGTAAATCAGCAATCTCCGTGGTTCTCAACTTCCCTAATGCCGTTATCCATTAGTATAGTTCCTCATATTGAGGTGACACCAAAACATAAACTTATTTTCACTGCTCCTTCATTAGTAAATGTTTTCAAATGGTCATAGCGAACATTTTATAAAGGCTGCTCGACCCTTAAAAGGGTTGCAAACCACATGCTGAGAACAATTGATCTAAGAGATGCTGAAACTTGAAAAAGAAATATCCTGAGTTGCTTAATGAATTATTTATTTTTTTTAAAGTACTACATTACATTAAAATAAAGTAAAATACGGTCTGTAAATAAAAATGTTACTCTATAAAATAACGAAAAGAAATACTCAGCCTTGTCATTTTTTTTCAAGAAATGTGATACTTTAAAATATTAACTTATGTCAATTTATAATTAATTATTTGATGCTATTGGTACTTTGTGCAAAAGAAAATTAAATGAGATGCATTTGTGGCAATAAAACACATGTGAAAATAATACACATTTAATTCACATAAAAAACAACAACAATTACTTCAATAACTACCATTTTCACATACATATGAAAAAGCAAGTTTTTATTTTTTCAATGTCAATATACCCAGTTTTCGGTCGGGTTTATATTTGGAATACGCTTACAACAATGTAAAATATTAACTAATTCATTAATAAGTAAATTTTAAACTACGTCAATCAATAATGTGTGGCTTAGATCTTTAAAAAAAAAATTTTTAAAAACTAAACAAATTTGATAAGACTTGTTTAAATAATGTGCTTTCTATATAAAAAAAATAAATTATTTCTAAACTTATCCTAGACAATGTTTGAGTTACGTTGTAAATGCCTTCTGATTTGTTGCACGGATCATTAACATTACTAAATTTAAACATGTTCTGCATGCATACTTTGGTAAAGTTCCATCAGTGATGAAATTTTAGCATTAAACATTCATAATCTTTTTATCTCCCCTGAAAGCGCTACTATAGCATTGTTTGATATAATTCACACAAGTATGTGTTTCTAAAAAAATAATTCTTGAGATATTATTTTTAAAATTA